AAGTCATCAGTGCATCAAGCCAGTGATGAATACAGTGCCCCTATGATGTATTTTTCCAAACATTCTACCTCTGAATACATGAGACTTTTAGGGAACATTCTATATCTCAACCATAACAGGTAGATATAGGAGGGGTAGGCAGGAATAAAGGGCTCTAAACCTATAAGAGTGTTAGGAACTCTGTGCTTTAGAGCCCTGAGTAGTGTTTCCTCCTGCTTGTGTAAAAGGTCCCCATTGGCTCTGGAGAGATAGAGCTGGCTACCAGAAGCCCAGAAGTGCTCCAGTGGGATATAAGGAGTAGCCTTCTTGAGACTTAGCTCCAGTTTGGTTCTCAGCTAAAGAGCCAACTCTTAGTAGATGGTCCCTCTTAATCTCTTTTTGGCCTTGAATGCTAACTAGGCTGAAGCTTAAGTAAACAGAATGCTGAGGGCAAATCAGATAGTAATGGGCAGAGCATGGGAAGCTGGGCTGCCAAAGATCTCCACTAAGAGCTGAGTGTGGCTCCAGGGGAAGGGGTGCTTGCAAAGTACATTGTAGAGGGAGGGATGGAATAGAAGAGGAGGCCAGGGGAAGAAGGCCAGCTGCCGGAGGTGATTTGCGAAAGAAGCACAGCAAGGTAGGTAATGGGTGGGGCAGCCAAGGGAATGCTACATTGCACTTCCTCCTCCCCCAAGGAAGCAGTGATATTGGTGGGTGGACTATCTCAACTTCAAACATATGTAAGTGACTTGCATTGTAACCTGACACACTAGGAAGATGTGTACTAGATTCCCCATCGTGAAGACTCCTCTTTAAATGCACTCAACTCCATCTCAGATTACATCTCTATTTCTCTGAGTGCCTGCAGTCCACTTTTGGGGGCATTCCCAAATCCCTGTCTAATAAATCCTTCTTGTGTCTCGTACTGATGCGTTCTGAAAATACTTTTTTTCCACAGCAGGAATCGGTAAAACTGTAAACTTGTCCTACAAGGATGGGTTATGTTCCTCATTTCAGCCTCAGGGACCTCATACCCAGCCCAGTGATAACATCACACACAGGCATTAAATTAGATGCTTGTTTATAATTGGGTTGGGAGAAAGCAACAATATTTCCATGTCTAACTATGTCTGTTTTCACTTATATAATGGTTTTGGGATTCATTTTTTTAAAAAATAAATGACTTCAATTCATTCTTCTATTCACTTATAAATTAAGAGTAAAATAGAGGCAGACTTTAAGAACATGAAAAGGAGATGGGGAAGAGTGAGGGAAAAGGTAGGGAAAGGGAGGATAGAGAGGAGAAATGGGGATCAAAGGTGATCAAGATATGTACTAATCCCCCAAAATGCAAGTATACATTATATGTTGCAAACATATGTCAGTAACAAATACATACTCAGTTGACAGAGAAGTTCATAAGATGTGTTGTTTGGCTAAAAATACAGTAGAGATACCACTTATATTCACATCTATCTATCTGAGAATACAGGTAGGGGAAAATAGAAATTGACCAAAGGGCTAACAGTGGTTAAATAGCAGTTTAACTCTCAGATAATTTGTACCTTAAGTTTTATATTCTCTTTTTTGGAAGGCTGAACATAAATGCTCTTCTCATAAACAGAATACAGTCATGAAAGCAAAACATTCAGAATAGATCCTTAAGCAGGCAAAGGGAGGAGCAAGATAGAGGTCAAAGCACTCCTTTCCACTGTGGTGATGTGTAAGATGTCTTTTTCTTGCCAGGAATAAATTACTTTGTAATGTAGTTTGAAGCTGACCTCATTACCCCTATTCTACCCATAAGTAGCACTGTACATGACTCAGATGGTTCTTGGTGTTCTCCAGGGACTTCTTTGGCATGAGCTCCTATAGATTAAAAAACCTGGACCTTGTTGCTTTCATCTTCACAGGTTTTTTTTTTTTAATGTGACTGAGTTCATTACAGAGAAAGGTAACAAAATGTGTTTCAAGGAAGACATGAAGACACAAACTGGATGTGAGCTTCCTTAACCACAGGCTTCAGAAGCCCTGCCATGGATCTGGACAATTTCTTCTCATCAAGAAGTTGATCGTCTGACTAGGGGCTGGGACATGGCTCAGTAGAATAAGCGCTTGCCTGGCAAACACAAGGTCCTGAGTTCAATCCTCGGTTCTGCCAAAAAAAAAAAAAGAAAGAAATTGATCTTTCAAGCCATTTCCATGTTATAGATCTGCCAGCAGGTTTAGTAGCTTTCCTGCTGGCTGCCACAGCAAGACTTTTCATAGTATCTTCGTTGCTTAATGTCCTCAGTGAGCCCATCCTTCGTGAGGACTCTGTTTAGTGTCTTGTATGCACCTTCCATGTTCCCATCTTGTGCCATCACAGCCTTGCCAATGAACTTCAGATGTTTTGTCATGATCTCGGAGTTAAGTCTTCACTCTGCAGAACCATCCGCCATTCCTCCCCAGCCCGGGATCATCACAGGGTTTTTGAGTGGACCTTCTAGTGACTGACAATAGGTATAATGGACTCTGTACTTTTACCTCCCAGTTCTACACATAACCCTAGGATCATCATTCTTATGCCCAGAACCACTTAGCAAAAGAGATTGAACCTTGACATTGCTGGAAGAATCAATAACGAAACAGATCTCATGATCTCTTTCTTCCTCCAATGGCTGGGATACCTCAGGATGAAAGTAGAGTATCTCCAGACTCTACCTAATCAGAGTCATCAAGGGTATGATCTGTTTCTATCATGTTGCAGTTGCAGTCCACACTGCCAATCAGTAATAGGTGGGAAACCTCAAAAGGCCACAGGGCTCAGATCTTTTGGGTCACTTCTGTTTAATAAAAGTTTTACTTCAGTCCTCTTCCTCCATTATCATTCTGATCAACTCCAGGAAATTGGGAAGCTGCTACTGCTTCTTTATACATATTGGGAGAAGATTCTTAAACCTGAAGCATAGAGCCTTATTCAGCTCAGCCTCTGCCAGGAGCTGGTGCAGATAAGTATGGTTTATAACTTTCTCAGCTAGGCTGCCTTCCTGGGTAGCATTCTGCAACTGCACCTCTAGGTGGTTCATAAAAAAAGTCTTCTTCCTTTGCACATGCAGGGTGTTAAATTTGCCAAGGGTAGACACACTGCTGTCACATTCCTCACCCAAACATTAAAAGTTTATCACATTTAATTTAGGGTTGGCACCTGGAGCAAATGCATGACCACTCAGGCAGAGTTCCTAAGGGTTTCTATTAAGCACTTGAACTTTTGTTCTGACATATTCCAATCTGTCAGAACTCCCTTGACTTGAGTCAGTTATAAAAGGCTTACTGCCCCTGGGCTGAACACCACCCTACTAGAGAATAGCTTCATGCTTCTTTCTGTCATGTGGATTATTAAAGGACTTGAGTTTCCATTCCAGAGACCTCATCATGGAATATGCTCATGGTGACAAGGGTGCATTTGGCCACTGGCAGTTATACACACAAGGATGCCAGACATGTCTGAGAACGACAGGGCATCAACATAAGATAGTCTGGCTTTTTTAAAAAAGCCTATTATGTAAGAATACCTAAAGCAGTGTTCCTGGATTTGCCTACCCTCTGTTTCAGAATGAACTATAAGAAGGAAAAAAAGTCAAAACAGCAGACTGCGTGGAACCCATCTGCTCTAGAATTCTCTACCCTCTTGAATACCCTGCAGTGCATTTTATATCTACCTTCTGCACTGAAACTAACCTGCAGGACACTAGCAATCACCTTCCCGCCTATTCATCAGGAAGGGTAACAGAGGTTGCTTAGAATTCTGTGAAGCTGACACTGAACTCTCAAAATAGGGTAGAATATTTTAAGTCCCAAGGACTTACGGTAATAAGATCTTAATTAACCTCATGATCTTAGGTCTCAAATACACTCCTTAATGTTTCCTTTTATTTCTCAGATTCTTACAGGAGCTCAGAAACTAGTCACCTTTACTGCACTTTCAGCCATTGCAGCTGGTGCGCTCTATGAGAAAAAGCTAGCCTCATGATGTGGTCAACCTCCGTCAACAGGAAGTCTAAGATCAGGCCTGTCAAGGCATTGAGACTATGCCATAGCTGGGGGAAGGTGTCAGAAGCGTCAGAAGCAGCCTCGTTCATTATCCTGCAATCTCCTACTGTGGCTAGGCAGAAAATTCCCTATCCCACCTTTCAGATAGAAGCCACCATCCTCTCCATTACATTTCCCTTTGGGAAACTATTGGCCTGCGAGTTATGCAATCAGCTGCACTGAATTCAAGCTTGGAGTAGCTTTGGTGGGCTGTCACTTCAAAAAGGAATAGCAGCTGGTCACCTTCTCTCATCCATATTTCTATCCAAGAACAGATAAGCTGCAAAGGGCGTTCCAGGCAGACAGCTTTCGAGTCTTCTGCCATCTCGCAGAAAATAGCCCCCTCCCAGGTCCAGGCAAATCCCTCTCAGTGGGCAGCATCCACTTGAAATCGCCCCTTCTTTCAGCATAGCTAGACCATAAGGAGTACTTTCCCAGCCTCGCAGTAACTGATTTTACAAATCAAGAACTGCTCTCATACTGGTGGAGCTTCACCCTCCCACGCTATCCAGTCCCCCTTTCTTTACCTCGCCTCTGCAGGTGGGCGGCGGATGATAGGGTGTCAGGGATGCTTGGGCGTCACAGCTGTGTTTCTCCTTCCGGTCTCTGAGGTCCTGCAGAGAGAAAGAATGGCTCCTCCTCCATCGGTAACAAAGTCGGGGCTGCCCCAGCCAGCTAGCTTTTAGCACCGCTGCCCAGCAAGGGGTAGCAGAGTCCTGGCAGCGCGGTTTCCAAGGCAGCCACGACTGCCCCCGCCCTCCATTTCCGCCCGCCCAGTAGCAGTGGCTGCTTTTAGTCTGTGCCCATTGAGACAAAAGAGTGTGATGAGCCCAGTGGTGCGACCAATCAGCGGGGCGCAGGGGTGCCTCCCCGCGCAGCCTCTCCTCTCAAAGCTAATGCTAAGAGGACAGGGGGAGCCGGCCTACCGGGCTGCAGCCGACGCGGGAGTTGGCGTATAGTCAAGTGCAGCTCAGAGGCACCAACCGGGCCCACTTTACCCGTGAGTTTGTTGCTACCCCTCTCTTCCCCTCTTCTTATCCCCCTTCCGCCTCTGCTGTTCTCCACTCTTTGAGACCCGATGCATTTAGCACGAGGTGGGACAGAAAACAAGTGAACAATGAGAGTTCTCTACCTTTGTATAGGGGGAAGGGAGAAAAGCATTTGCTGATCGTTTTCCGCGTGCAGATGCACTTGCACAGGCATCGCGTTTATTCTCAGCAGCTTTGAGAAGGCGGTAGCAGCTTGCCCATTTACCAGAGAGGGGTTCTCAAGCATCCAGGCAGTGTGCTTAGGAAGTGCAGGGCCAAGTGCTCATACTCAGGTCCTCAGGTGGAACTTCAAAGACTGCCCCAGGGAAGCACTCCCCTATGGGGGCAGATTAAGGGTTAGTGGAGAAAAGCCAATGCAAGATGGAAGCACTAACTTGAGCCATGTACAGTTACTGAGCAAGGACTGTTATCTCCACTTTAAAGACGAGGAAACAGCCACAGAAAGCTTGGACATCCTGCCCTGTATCTTACAGCAAATAAGTGACAGCATCTCATTTTGTGTGCTGGTCGCTTCTGGTGATACCATCTGTTGGCCAGGGTGCATTTTACACAGGTATTCTCTAATCACCCCAACAGCTGTCGTGATGTAATGGGTGCTGAAGGAAGTGTGAGAGAACAGGAAGGGAACCTGCTTGGTCCCCGCTGTATAGAACAGAAAGTGAGGTAACTTTCCTTTTCCATTTTGTATTCGTGTTTATACAATAACAAGGTGCCTCTTTATAAAAGTAACACTTCTAAACTTGTGTGGTGGCACACATGTATAATACTAGCACTTGGAAAGCTCTGGCAGGAGGATCACTGAGTTCAAGGCCAGCCTGGGCTTCATAGTGAGTTCAAGGCCAGTCTGAATTGCATAAGGGAGACTGTCTCATTCTCTCCCCCCTCCAAATTTTTCAATAGTTCATTATGATCCCAGATTTACCAAAAATTACATGATGAACTTGAAATGTGGACTGAATCTCTCAATCCAAGATCCTGAGCTTGGTTCCCAGTACCTGATGGAAAAAGACAAACTCACAACATTAACCAAAATGTTGGTGCTAAAATAATTTCAGAGAATTTGTTCGAAAGGCAGATTACTGGGGCCATTGAGATAGCTCAGTGGAATAAGCGCTACCCTGGAGAACACAAGGGCCTGAGTTCAATCCCCAGTTCTGCCAAAAAAAGAAAAAAGAAAAGAAAGGCAGATTACTGAGTCCCACTGCTGGGAATTTTGATTTACTAAAGGACTGTGTTTTGTAATTTTAAACATTGCTGTAGTTGATTCTGAGGTATACAGAGGTTTGTGAACTAATTGTTCTAAACAACATATCATGCTAAAGGTTATAAGAAAATGGGCCTGCCACCAATGTATCTGTCCACAGCATATCTGTCATGAAGTGGAACTCTAGAACAAAAGTTTCCTATATGGACTCTTCTGAAATTTTGAACTCTGTACAGTTTTCTGAGTCCATAGCTTTGTGGATATTCAAATGAGTCTGTGGTCCCTAAGCAGCTAAGAACAACTCTGCTATAAACTTTCTTCAAAACATCTTCCTCCTTTAACTCCTGCTTGAGGAAGAAGTATGAGAAATGAAACACCGTTTGACCTAACCCCCACTCTACAGCTCTCTGCTGCTGATATGGCTCTTTCATTTCCTGGCTCAAGGATACGTTGCTAGGTTGCCCTTCTGTGAGCTCTTCAGGGGACTTCTCCTTTGCTGGACTTGGCATCACTGGCCCCAGAGAAGGAGCAACTCCATGGAAACGGCATGCAGGGCTGTCCAGAGCAAATGGGCGATGAGGCTAGTGGCTAGAAAACCTGTTCCATTTTCCCTGACTTTCAGTTCTTAGAGAGCAGGTATTACTTCCTATTTATGTAGACTGTGGCCAGGAGTCTCTGCAGGGCTTCTTTCTGATTCCTAGTGCTTGGAAGTGACTGAAGAATCTGGTGCCCTGCCACTACTGCTGTTGGGTTCATTGTCAGCCTGTTAAGGTGGTTCATCTCTCCTTTTCTGCCCTCATGTTTACAGCCCCCATACCTAGAATTCCTTAGGGTAAGCAGTCCATATTTGGAGAGAGCATCTTCCATCACAGGGTTGTGGCCTTCTTTTTGTAGATGGAACAGAGGAGTAGTGCTGGTGGCCAGTGGGCAGTGTTAACAGGCACAGTGAAGGCCAGTGTCTCACCTTGCAGTCAGGGGTGAGGCTGGCAATAAGTTCTTGGCTTTCCTTCAGACTTTTGCTACTGCCTGCCCAAACCATGATATCTCATACTGCCTTTCTTTTTCTGTATTTGGAAACTCACCATACTAGGTATGTAGTTGGAGTTGGTAAGGTTGAGATCAGAAAGAAGCAAAATACCTACAGAAATTCAGAGTTCTGATAAAAATACAGAAAGGAAGTAGATTGGGCAAAGGTTGGGTCATTAGAACAAAGTAAAAATGTCCTTGAGCAGGACTGAAAAGAACATTTGCAAATTTGCAAGCTAGCTCCAACTGGATACAGAGCATCACCCCTTATCTGTGGCCTCATATGTGGGAAAGTTCCTAAATGGTGGTTTTAATGAGATTCCATTGTTCAATTTCAAAAAAATAAAGTTTAAAAGCTTGGAGGTTAGGAGATAAAGCTTCCAGATGAAACAGTAATAGCTACTTTTGGCTGCCTGCCTCCTCTGTTCCAGGAACTTTTCATCTTCTATCTCATTTAAGCTTCTGAGCAGCCCTGTTGAAACAGATACTTGTCAAAGTTGGAAACATAGGAGGTAGATCACAATGTTCAAGTGATAACTGCTCAAGACCAACTTTGGATACATTCTTTACTTTAGATTTCATATTAAGGGGCTGGACTCTCCTAGATTGTTCAAATTGCACCTTTGCATTCGTGAGAGAGAAGTTTTCCCTGCCTTCCACAGGAAGATCGGATGTGCTCCAGTACATTTCATCCAGTTTTGGCTGACCCTACCGTCTGTAGGAGCAGGTGCTCTGTGAGGACAGGTAGGTAGGATGGGAAGCATCTTTTTCATACATTGTATTCCAGATACTAACTCATAGATTCTCAACCCTTTCTCTCATTTTATGTTATTAATCTTTGCAGTAACCTTTTGTTATAGGTCTTACTGTTCTCATTTTGTAGCTAAAAATTCTGAGACTGTAGGAAGCTAGTGTCTTGTCTTAGGTTACACAGCTTGGTAGGTAGTGAAGGCAAAATTCAGTCTCAGATGTGGCTGCCTCAAAAGCATCTTAAGAGAGAAATACAGAAGCAAACATTGGATTTCCTTTCCCCTATAAAATAAAATAATTAGATTTATTAAATAACAGGTTCAATATTAAGGTAATGTGTTTCTAATTTATTATTCACCTTTAATCCCTCAAAATGTTTTGCATGAATGGCAGAAGGAGCCAGAGTTATAAAAGTAGAATTTCTCTATCAACTATTACTCAGAATTACTTTACATCACTCCCTCATAACATTATAAAGTTATGACGGGGGCGGGGAGATAGCACAGTAGAATAAGCACTTGCCTGGCAAGTGCAAGGGCCTGAGTTCAACCCCCGGTTCTGAAAAAAAAAAAACATAAAAGGTCTTATTCTCCATTTGAAGCCGGGGGAGATGGCTCAATCTCCGGTTCCCAAAAAAAAAAAAAAAAAAAAAAAAAAATTATGAGCATGCTTACAGAACTAGACCATTGGTAGGAGAGCCGAGAGTTTGGGGCCCCTCTTTCCTTCCAGACAATGGTATGCACTGATCTGAGCATTCATTCCTTTCTTTGTTTTGAAATGGGGGCTGGCTCTATTGCCTAGGCTGGTCTCAAACTTCTGGACTCATGCGATCCTCCTGGCTTAGCCTTTCAAGTGCTCAAACTACAGTGTGTACTCCTATTCCTAGCTCTTGTTTTGGTTTGGTTTGATTTGTTTTGATACCAAAGTTCCTTCATGTATTCAGTCTCCAAGTTGTTTCTCACACTACCCAACCTGCTTCCAGAGCAGTAGTTTAGAGTCTTTATACTGCTTTTTTTTCTGCAGAACCGGAATTGAACTCAGGCCCTTGCCCTTCCCCTTGCTAGGCAATTTACTGAGCTATCTCCCCAGCCCCCATCTTGTACTGATTCGGAACCCAGATGAGTTTTACATTTCAAGGAACAAATGGTCATGTCTGGAGTGTGTGTGTGTGTGTGTGTGTGTGTGTGTGTGTGTGTGTGTATGTGGCCAGCTTAGCCCACACTGGAGGCAGGGCTGGCACTGCATGTGGTGCTGGGGATCAAACTGTGGTCCCTGAGCTTGCCTAAGCTTACCTAAGCAGGCGCTTTAGATCACTGACCTATCTCACCAGCCCTGGAAATATTTTTGATCATTGCACTTGGTAAGTCTCCACTGATGCTACTGGTATGTAGTGAGTAAAAGCCAGAAATGCCCCCAAATGTTTACCAATGCACAGGCCAGGCATGGATAATAAAATGCCAATAGTACCAATATTGAGAAAGCCTCTGTCATATGCCTATGATCCTAAAAATTTGGGCTTGGACATGCCAGGTGCTGAGGCTCCTGGCAATGAGCAGGTGCTCTCTCCTGCCCTCAGTTGGAGGAGGTGATAAATTGCCAGGAGATAGGTACAATTTGAGCAGAAATATACAGAAGGAAGGGGGAAAGATTTATCATACTCAAATTTACTATAGATTTCTAGAGAAAGTATTGCACTACAACTGTTGAGCACCTTTAAAATGTATTTTAGGGTAAAGGGTTATAGCTCAGTGGGACAGTGCTTGCCTGACCCCAGTTTCAATCTCCAGCACTATAAACAACAATAGCTAGATGCCGGGAGATAGCTCAGTAGAATAAGCGCTTGCCTGGCAAGTGTAGGGTCCTGAGTTCAATCCCCAGTACTGCAAAAAAAAATTGTACTTTATAAAAATTTGACATTTTATACAATGAAATTTGAATATGATATATATTTTGGAGTCCCCTTTGCCTGGTATAATGGGTTTTAGTCATGATTCTTTGAATATTGGAATATTTGTGCATCAGCAAAATACTGTAGAGGTGACTGTTCAAAACTAACTGCCTGGGCAGGGAGAGATAGCTCAGTGGTCTAAGTACCTGCCGAACAAGGGCAAGGTCCCAAGTTCGATCCCCAGTACTGCATGCCATGCTGGAGCCATGCTGGCCCCAAAACTGGGTGACTGGGTGTGGTGGCGCATATGTGTAATCCCAACGCTGGAGAGGCTAAGACAGGAGGATTGCTAGGAGTCCAAGCTGCATAGCCTAAGCTGCATAGTGAGACCCTTTACCGAATATAATGTATATATCAAATATATATATATATATATATATATATATATATATATATATATATATCTGACTGCCTTTTCTTTAAGGTTGATATGTGCACCCCCCTTTACAGTCCTTGGGATTAAACCCAGGGCCATTCTGCCACTGAGCTATCCCAGGCCTTTTAATATTTTTTATTTAGAGACAAGGTCTTGCTAAGATGCTCATGTGAGACTCAACTTGTGATCCTCCTACCTTTGCATCCCTAACTGCTAGAATCACAAGGATGCACTACGATGCCTAAGGTTAACGTATTTTTTTTTATGAGCAGAATAGATTTATTGAGGGAAAGAAAGCTCCTGTGTGAGAGAGGGACAGGCGGGGGGCCCGAGTGGGTTATCCCTGAAATATACTTTTTTAATGTATTCAGTGCAGGGTCTACAGGGTCTCACTACAGAGATTGAACTCATACTGATTCTCCTATTTTCCACCTCCCAAGCTCGGGCCACCACATCCAGTCTTAATTGCTATCTCAGCACAGCCTGGGGACAGGGCCAGCACAGCACACCAGGGATCCAATCCAGGTCCCTGTGTCTGCATAAGCAGGCACTTTAATCCGCTGAGCTATCTGACTGGCCTGGTTAATATATTTTTAAATAAATGCCATTTTATGCATTTAAAATGTATTAGCATATGTTTGTGATACATGATAAATATACTCATCATGTGGAATTAGTATATAAACATATGCCAACCTGATCTTTTTTTACTTCCCCTTCTCCCTCTCTGCTGTGCTTCCCCATCCTCAGATCCTTTTCCCATCTACACAAAGTCTATCTCTATATTTCTTATTTTTTTATTTTTCTCTTTAAATTACTTATACTGAGTTTCTCACATAAGAGAAAACATGCAATATTTATGCTTGTGTATCTGATTAATATCACTTATCAACATTATGTTCTCAAGGTACATCCATTTTTCTATAGGTGAGTCAATTATTACTCTTTGTAGCAGTACCCCATTGTATGTAAATATCATGTTTTTTTTATCCATCTGTTAATGAGCATGTACACTACTTGTTAGATTTCACTATTGTGAGTTGTGCTGCTATAAATGTGGATATGCATGTATCGCTGTTGTATGATGTATTAAACTCTTTGGAGAAGATACCCAGAAGAGGTATGGATGAATTCTTAATGTCTTAAGAAGATGCTCGCAGAAACTGGCCCACAGGATTGGTTGTTTCCTTAGACCAGAGTTTCTCAGGGCTGTGTTTCTAACCAAGCAGTAAAAATGCTTGTCAGCTGATGTAAATCATCAGCTAACCTCTTTTTCCCCCTCTGAACAGTCTGTTCCATCGGTATCCAGTTGTCTTCAGCATGAGGGAGGAGAACCACTCTGCTGGGAAGGAACTTCAGCACAGAACGCAAGCAGAAGCTCCAGGAATAAAAAGCTGGAACTCTCAGGCCTACACCCTTGGGGCCATTTCCAACTTTCTGTCTACTTTTCTGACTTTTCCCATCTATAAGGTTGTGTTCCGGCAGCAGATCCATGCTGTGGCTGTGTCTGAGGCTCTGCGACAGCTTTGGCATGAAGGCCCTCAGTACTTCTACAGGGGAATCTACCCCCCTCTTCTCTCCAAGACGTTGCAAGGAACTCTGCTGTTTGGGACTTATGACAGTCTGCTGTGCTATCTCTCCCCTGTTGGGCCACACTCCCTGAGGCACCGCTGGGCTGCAGGACTCATGTCTGGTGTGGTGGAAGCTTTGGCACTCAGCCCCTTTGAAAGAGTGCAAAATGTGCTCCAGGATGGTCGCAAACAAGCTCGCTTCCCTAACACCTTCAGCATTCTCAAGGAGTTCAATTCTTACGGTTTTTGGGGGCGGCTGTCATGGGGCTATTATCGTGGTTTCTTGCCTGTCCTTGTTAGGAACAGCCTGGGGAGTGCTCTCTACTTTTCTTTCAAAGATCCCATCCAGGATGGCTTGGCAAAGCAAGGCCTGCCCCATTGGGTTCCTCCCTTGGTATCTGGTAGTGTCAATGGAACAATCACTTGCCTGGCTCTATATCCTCTGATTGTGCTTGTTGCCAATATGCAGTCCCATATTGGCTGGCAGAGAATGCCAAGCCTGTGGGCCTCTGTGAAGGATGTGTGGGACACTCGGGGCCGAAAGGTACTCCTGATCTACCGAGGAGGTTCTCTGGTCATCCTAAGGTCCAGTGTGACATGGGGGCTCACTACTGCTATCCATGACTTTCTGCAGAGGAAGTCCCACTCCAGGAAAGAGCTGAAAGACTGATTCACTGCTGGCAGTGTGGTCAGGGCATCTTGGTTCTTCTAAATCTTTCCTGGTCAGTTTCTATATAGCTTCCTTCTTTAGGCTTGGTTACTTGACACAGGTATTTTTTTTAAGCATCTGTCAGCTTTCATTGCATGGGAGCAGTTTCCAACTATCAGCCTGTTGGGCACAAACAAAGCCTAACAGCATTCCTTGGTCAGAAGAAGAAAGTTACTCCAGTCTACCCTGAACTTCAACAGCCTCAGAGCCAGGACGCCCTTAAATAACTTGTAACCCAGATTGAATGTCTTTCCTTTAAGGGATTTCTTAATAAGAGAAAGCTTAGAAAGATGACTGTACTCATTCATTTTGAGTTTTTGTAACCCTTCATGTGTTTTTCAGGTCAAACTAAGTAGAATTCCAATTGGAGAGAACTATTTTTGACTCTGAACATTCCGTAAAACTTCTCAGATGGCTACATTTTCATTTTATTGTTCAGTGCCCCTTCCACAGTCAATTCACATCTTCAAACTAAAATCTTCGTTTCAAGGGAGCAGCTGTGATTGGAGAATCCTAAGTTGGTTGTTTTACTCATTGGGTGCCACAAGAATGGCTGGCGCTGAAGATGGGAAGCAGAAGTATGGTCCTGGTTAGAAAGAATAAAAACTTTCAAGGATGACATTTAATTATGTGCGAAAAATAGCAAAATGTATCTTAGGTTGCTTAATTTTGTCTGCTAGGACATTTTGGATGGCAAGGTGATTTCCTTGCTGAGAAGCTGCTTGAGTTTCCCTAAGAAATCTGGAAGTGGAATGACCACATCTCTTCACAAATAATTTTATGTTTTGTTGATGTGGATATAGTTACTATGATATAAAGCTTAGAAATCTTAAACTGACTTTCAGAACTATTCAAAATATTGTCCCCATATAATTTTCAACATACTATCACACAACTCCCACTCTCACAAACCCCATACATCAACCAAAAGGAACTGTTGTCCTCTCTCCCAACATGCTATGAACTTACCGATGCTAGTTCGTTGACTCCCCCTATTTGCTCCACTTGCAGGTCTCTTTATTTTGACTAGTCTGCCAGAGTTCTGGTTCCTAAAGTCTAGTTCAGATCCCACCTTCTCTTGTTTTCCTATTTTTCCCAACAGAATGTGACATTAGTCTCTTAGCATTTCCCTTTACAAAAGTGCATCAGCATGCCACTGATTGCATTATGTCACTGATCCATGTGACACTGGGATCTTGATATTTTTAATACCTCCTAGCAGACTGTAAAACTTTGAAAGCAGGGATTCTTATATGCATTTTTAAATGCTCCATTGTGCCTAGGTGCTCAATAATGTTGGTAAATTTTAGAATTGATTATGAAGCTGTGATATGAGTCGTATCCTCAGGGTGTTGTCCCTTCTACATGAAGATAATGTTACTGACTCAGCAAGACACATGCCTTTGGGGGTGTGTTTTATTTTCTTTTAACAGTGCATTAATTTTATGCTAACAATTATAACACCATGATGATAATACTAATAAAAATTACTTTAAACTGGAACATTGGATGAGTGTATTATTGATGGCTCATTTGCTCTTAGAACAACTTTAGGAACTCAGATTTTACAAACAGAATCACATTGTGTATAGCTGGTCCATTCATTTCCACATTGTAGTTTTTAGTATTTCAAGGTGATATCATGATAATTCATTTCCACCTCCTTAGTGAACCAAATATGCCCTTATAATAAATCACCTGACTGGAGATCCAGTGATGAGACTTCCTCACTGTATGCTACAGAAATTAAGACAGAATTGGCCATCTGCTATCAGCATTTGCCATCAAGATCAACAAAAAGTGGCTGTCCCAGGGCCAGCGAGATAGCTCAGTGGACTATGTGCCTGCTTAGGTGAGTGCAGGGATTGGGGTTCGATTCCCTACACTACATGCCATGCTGGCCCTGCCCCTGGCTGTGCTGAGCTGGCCAGCAAGACTGGGCATGGTGGTGTATGCCTGTAATCCCAGCACTGGGGAGGCTGAAAACGGGAGGATCGCTATGAGTCCGATCTGTGTAGTGAGACCTTGTACCAAATACATAAAAAAGAAAGAAGGAAAATGGCTGTCCACAGGCATTAGGAATGAACTCTGACATCTGCAGGTTTACATGGGCTGCAACAGTGCTGTCCGTCCTCCCTACTTGTGGATTCCATAAGTGCATCAAATTAATTTGGATAGACAATATCTGGGGAAAGTCATATTGTTCTGAATATGTACAAGTTTTCTTGTCATTCTCTAAAAACCACAGTACAGCAATCATTTATATAGCATTTACATTATGTTAAATATAACCTAGACATGGGAGATTATGTACCAATACTGTATAGCGTATATTATAAAGGACATGAGGTTTTGCAGATTTTGGTATCTATGAGGAATCAAAGAACCGGTATGAAAGGATATGAAAGGCTGGCCAAATAGCTCAGTGCCGGCCTCACCACCATGTTGTATTGAGATGGCAATTGAGACTGGGTGTGGTGGCCCACGCCTGTATTCCCAGCACTTGGGAGGCTGTAAAGAGATGGATCACTATAAGTCGAATCTAGTAGTGAGACCCTGAACACCCTGTAGACCCTTCCATAAAATACAAAAAAAAAAAAAGGATATGAGCAGATGACTATACTTGTGAATTCAAGGAAATAAAACATAGTTGGCAGAAGAAAAGGAAAAACAGGAAAGCAGTTATAGTTTAAGGCTAACTCTGAAGAAAATATTGTTTACAAAACTTTATGACTTAGCTTATGACTTATGTTATCATTCTAGATCCCTTTATTTTAATTTGCTATTTTGAAATATTTTTTTTGGCAGAACCAGGGATTGAACTCAGGCTCTTATTGTGCCAGGCAAGCACAATAAGTTTGAACTTACAGTAACATTGCAAGTATAAATAAAACATTAAGAACATCCATATAACCTTTATTCAGCTTCACCTATGATTAATAGTTCCCTCACTTGCTCAATTATTTGAATAATTAAAATAATTTTGCTGAACCTAGAGTTGCATGCATCAGTTATCAGTATTTGTAGATTCAGTATTTTTATATTAAAATTCTTTTTGTAAACAGTTTTTGACTTTTATTAGTACATGTTTGCAGTAATAATTGCAGTACTCTGTCACCTCTCTCATAATGGTACAGGGCTGGTGGTGTCTCTCAGTGTCAAAACACTTGTCTAGTATACGCAAAGGTTTGATCCCTAGCAACACAAAGAAATACATAAGCACACTGTTATTACAAAGCATAAAATGAAAACTAAAATGGCATACTATTTTCAACTTACTTTAGTGGTAATGTTAAGTATTTTATGCTTGCCATTATAAATAAATTTTACATTTTATATGTTGAAAATCAAAGTGTTGCAATTATAAACTGGTTTGCAACTAAAGCATGTTATAATTTAGATAATTTTTACGAATTGGTCCATATACAAACCTAAGCAATGCTGTCAAATTATATAGACTAATCAACTTTTTCCATTTAAATTTCTAAGTAAAGTTTAAGAGTGTAGTCATTTTCTAGTAATTAATGTCAACATTGATCATAGAGGTAACCCTGTTCTGACTTTTCTGACAATCTTATTTATGCTTTTGTTTATAGGTTTATTTTCTTTATTAACAAATCTAAATAACATTGTTTAACTGATATTTGAAACTTCTGTATGTTATCAACTTGACATAGTAACTATTTTCTTTCATCTCACATAGTGAAATTAATTCATGTTGTTGCAGATAGCTGTGTTTGGTTCACTTTTACAGTATACCACTGAATGAAAATACAATTTACCTATGATAACTTTGAGGGGAATTCTTGTTTCCAGGTTTTGACTGTAATAAAACAGTAAAACTATGATTATTCTTAGTATAGTTCATGACATGGGTGCCTCTAGAGTCTTTTCACAAGAATGGAGTTACTGGGTTGTGGAGGATCATCACTTTCACTTTAAGTAGATGTTGCCTAACTTTTCCTAATGGTTTTTACTAATTTACACCCTTAACATTCATGTCCAAGTCCTATTGCTCCACCTGCTGGCTAACAGTTGGTATTACTAGACAATTTTTGCCTATTCTGTAGCTATTTTTGCCTAAAATAGTATTGCATAAGATTTTTCTGATTAGTACTAATTTTGATCATCTTTTCATACATTTACTGGACATTTGGATTTCCTATTTTGGGAAGTATTTCTAATTAAGTTGTGGGAGTTTTTTGTTCTAACTTTAATCCCTCGTTCTTTGTTTTTGCCCTGTGCTGCATATTTTTTCCCTACTTGGTCATTTATTTTTTAATTTTACTGATGAGTTCTTTTGATGAGAAGTATATATAATGATAATGTAGTTAAAGTTATCAATCCCTTTTCTTTATGGTAAGTGCTTTTTGTGATCTTTTTTCCCCCCAAAGAAATCCTTCTTTACTTCAACATCATAATATTGTCAGATATTAACATTTAAATTTTTATATTTTTATTTTTGCATTTAGGTCATTAATACTCTGATATTACTTTTTGTACAGAATGTTAGAAATTCAATGTTTTAAAAAATAACTATTCAATTTGTCCCAATGTCATTTCTTTTAAAGTTTTTCCTTCCCATTAGTAATGATAACCTTGTCAAATACAAAGTATTAATTTCTTCATGGGATTCTTTCTGGCCTGTTTTCTATATTCCGTGAGTGTATTTATTTAACTTGGTGCCAGTATAACATTGCCTTATTGCCGTAGTTTTGGAATAAGTATTGGTAGGTAATGCAGAAATTCTTCCCATCTCATTTTTATTCCCCAAGAGTTTCTTAACTATTTGTATCGTAGCTACAAAAATAGACTTTTTATTTTATATAAAAGTGCTGACAAGATTTTAATTTCAGCAAAATAACTGTTGATTTTAATTTAAACACAAATATTGGTTGCAAGTATAATTTTAAATTTCTTAAAGTTTCATACCCCATAGTGCTTAATAATCTGTTGGGTTTTTATAAGTTGCTTATTTTTTTTTAATAAATTGCTAACAGTAAAGAACATTATCATGAATAGGATTATAATGAGTTTCTTTTTAAAGCAAAAAATGTAAAACAAAATTTCAAAGCAAGATAGCAGAAGGGTAACAATGGTTAATATACTGTAGGGAGCAGTTGACACTGAAAATTGGTCACACGTGTAGGGGGAGGCAAGGCAGGTCCAAGAACAAAAAGCACTCAAGGCAATACAAGCTACTTCAGTCCAGGGAACACCACCCTGGAGACAATCCATGCAATTATTTGCCAGCTATGTCGTGTGACACCGACTTTGTCAAATGTATATATAATGCCCATATGGTGGGTGGTTGAGCAGTTCTTTTCCTCCTATCCAGAGAGAGAGAGAGAGAGAGAGAAAGAGAGAGAGAGAGAGGAGACTCAACCTGACCTCAGCCTTTGTCTTTCAGCTTTTTTCCTCATCCTCTTGAAGTCCTTCCCCTAGAATATCAAGAGTTGCAGAGGACACGGCAATACACTGCCTATTGTTATCTTTAAATTAGTTACTCAGCATTTGTTATTGGTTGGGTTGATTTCTTGATGGTAGCCATTCTTTCTGGAGATGGAATCTCAGCAGTGTTTTAATTTACATCTCTCAAATCACCAGTGATGCTCACCATTTTTTCCTATATTTATTTGCTGTTTGTATTTCTTCGTCTGAGAAGCGTATATTCATCTCAGAAGCTCATTTTTGGATTGAGTCTTTGAATTTTGGGGGGGTCTGATTATTTTTCCATACATTGACTATTCTAGATATAAGTCCTTTGTGTGAGGTACAACTGGCTACACATTTTGTAAGCCATGTGTTGTCTCCTCATGCTGTTGGTGATTTCTTTTGTTGTGCAAAAGAATTTCAATAAGATCCAACTTGTTGACTTATTATAGTATTTCCTATGTGGTCTGGGTTTTGTTCATGAAGTCTCTGCCTCTACCTATGTCTAATATTTCTACCCATTTTCTCTTCCAGTAGACTTAGTGTTTCTGTTCTTATATTTAGATCTTGATCCATTTTGACTTTAGTTCAGTGCATGATGATAGGCATGAGTCTATTTTTAATCTTCTGCAGGTAGAAACCAAATTTTTCCAGAACCATTTACTAAATAGATTTTCTTTCTTCCACTGAACATGTTTGGCTCTTTTGTCAAAGATAAGGTAGCTGAGTGTTTTTGGAGTTGTTTCTGCATTTTCTATTCTCTTCCACTGATTTTCTGGTCTGCTTTTTGTTTTTGTTTTGTGTCAGTAACATGCTGATTTAATCAGTAGCTTTGTATTATAATTTCAGGTCAGGAATTATGATAACCCCTGAATTGCCTTTGTTGCCCAGGACTGTTTTGGCTATTTTAGGTCTCTTGGTTACAACTGAATTTTAGGAATGTGTTCTTTAGTTGTGTGAGGTATGCCAATGGTATTTTTTATTGGGATTGAATTAAATCTGTAAAACAGTTTTTA